CATCCTCCTTCACCCGGGCTTGGGACCGGTAGTAACTCTAAAAGAGCTGCAGGCAGAGTTATATAACCGTTGCTTTTTACCTTTCAGAATTGAGGAAATTAGACCTCTACAATGATCAACCTTATATATTTAACATATTGTAATCAAAAATTTATGAATGCGTCATAGAAATATTGCCAATTACCAAAGAGAAACGATTTTTCAAAATCACAATAAAATAGAGTAATATAAATTCTGGATTATAGATTGCTGCTTTCAGAAGTTATTGAGAGCATATTTTGAAGCTGTAATGAAACTGTTAATTATGATAATTGTAGCTAAATTTATAGATTAACATTTAATAGTTGATTTCATGAGTCAATTGAAGCTAGACCACCATGGAAAACCTAGACGGCCGTTTCTTCCTAGCATGACACTCCCCAGCAGTGCGCATCGACGATCCCTCCCCACGAGATTAGAACCCAGGACTTATCAGTTTCGTGCTCGAACGCTTAACCTCTAGATCACTGAGGAGTTCCATACTAGAACGAAATGGTCGTCCAGTGCTCCCAGATTTTCCATGATGGTTTAGCTTCAATTGACTAATGAATTCAAGTGATAAATTACTACAATCTCCATAAAACCCTTGTCAGATCAATATTTCTTAATTTTTACAAATTATTATCATTTTATTAATTCTATTCATTTAATTTCCTTTATATTGTATGTACTAATATCAATTCATTTTTAAATAAAATTGTATAGAATTAAACATCCGATTACCGGATGTTTAGTTTATTTATTAGTTCTTGTTGACAATTTTCAAAATGAAAACGTAATTGATTTTTAGTAGTGTACTTCTAATTAACAATCATTCAGTTTTCTTTGTTTTTATAACTATAAAATTGTCAATTTATAGAACAAAATTAAAATGAATCAGAACATAATGATTTGTTATAATGAATACTATTAAAATTTTCAAATGAAATATTTAAAGTTAATTTAAAAGACAAAACGAACTCAACTGGAGAAACCAGAAATCATGAAATATTTATTCCACCATTGAACAACCCTTAATCATAAGAAGATTTAACGCTGTATCTTCCTGGAATATATGGTATCACTTAATCGGAATCCAATAATTCATATTTTAAACTTCAGTAGGTGTAACTTCTGTAATATTCCGATCATGAAGAAGAAAATGCCCCACATACACAAGGAGTTGCATTGATGCTTTCCAAACAAGCACAAAATGCACTTACAGGATGGGAATCTTATGGACCAAGGATCATCAAAGCCTCCTTCAAAACAAAGAGAGAGGACATTACAGTGAACGTCGTCTAATGCTATGTGCCTACCAACGACTACGATGAAGACGTTAAAGACTAATCCTACGATAGGCTACAGCCAATGTTCGAGAAGTGCCCAACAAAGGACCTGACCATTCTGATGGGAGATTTAAATGCTAAGGTTGGAATAGACAACACTGGATACGAAGACGTCATGGGACAACATGGACTGGGAGAAAGGAACGAAAATGGTGACAGATTGGCAAACCTATGTACCTTCAACAAACTGGTCATAGGTGGTACCATAATTCCACACAAACGCATTAACAAAACCACATGGACTTCACCGGACCACACTACACAGAACCAAATCGACCATATCTGCATGAACAAAACGTTCAGGAGGACGATGGAGGATGTGAGAACCAGAAGAGGAGCTGATATAGCATCCGATCATCATTTGCTAGTCGCCAAGATGAAATTAAAACTAAAGAAGCACTGGAAAATAGGGCGGACTACATCACAAAAGTTTAATACGGCCTTTCTTCGAGATGCAGACAAATTAAACATAGCCCTCAGCAACAGGTTCCAGGCCTTTCATGATCTACTCAATGGAGAGGGAATGCCATGGAGAGCAACTGGAAAGGTATCAAGGAGGCAATCGTTTCAACATGTCAGGAGGTTCTGGGCCAAAAGAAGCACCATCACAAGGAATGGATCACTGTTGGTACACTGGATAAAATTGAAGAAAGGAAGAACAAGAAGGCAGTAATCAATATCAGCCGAACAAGAGCGGAAAAAGCCAAGGCACAAGCCGAATACACAGAGGCAAACAAGCAAGTGAAGAGGAGCATCAGAACCGACAGACGTAAATATGTGGAAGACAGCGGAAGAGGCTGCAAGAGAAGGAAACATCAGACAATTGTATAATACAACAAAAAGGCTCGCTGGAAATTACCGTAAGCCAGAAAGACCAGTGAAAAGCAAGGAAGGCAAGATAATCACCAGCATTGAAGAGCAACGGAACAGGTGGGTGGAACACTTCAAAGAACTCTTGAATCGACCAGCTCCACTGAACCCACCCAACATCGAAGCAGCACCCACGGACCTCCCAATCGATGTTTGCCCATCAACAATTGAAGAGGTCAATATGGCCATCAGACAAAACAAGAGCAGCAAAGCAGCGGGACCAGACAACATCCTGGCAGAGGCGCTGAAAGCAGATGTAGCAGCAACTGCAAAGATACTCGACATTCTCTTCAGTAAGATTTTGGATGAAGAACAAGTACCAACAGACTGGAAAGAAGGAATTTTAATCAAGATACTAAAGAAAGGCTATCTCAGCAAGTGTAAGAACTAAAGGGCCATCACTCTTCTCTCAATATCAGGAAAAGTCTTCAACAGGGTATTTTTAAACAGAATGAGGGACTACGTAGACGCCCAACTTCGAGATCAGCAGTCTGAATTCCGTAAGGTTCGACCATGTACAGACCAAATCGCAACTCTACGGATCATCGTGGAACAATAAATTGAATGGAATTCATCATTCTACATCAGCTTCATTTGATAGTGTGGACAGGACAACACTATGGATGCTTCTTCTTCACTACGGCGTGCCTGAGAAGATAGTCAATATCATACGGAATTCCTATGATGTATTTAATTGCCAAATCGTCCATGGAGGACAACTCACCGACTCATCCGAGGTAAAGATCGGTGTTAGGCAAGGTTGCTTACTTTCACCCTTTCTCTTTCTCGTGGTGATCGACTGGATCATGAAGACGTCAACATCTGGAAGGAAGCACGGGATACAGTGGATAGCTTGGATGCAGCTGAACGTATATAATTGTGCATTATACAATTTGGTTAATCTATCCGTTGAAGCGAATAACTGAAATAACTTAATAGTGTTTTAAACGCAAACAGCAATAATTCTCCATACAAATCGATCATTCGTTACATGTTCACCCAGTACTCATTTTCGTAGTCTATTTACAGATCAATGTATCCAGTTGAGAATTTTATACAATTTAAAAGTGTTTGTAGTTTACTGTTGGTAAATATTTAGATTTATTATCACCGATCGGAATACAGCTAATATAACAATGAGAAAACATTTGTCCCAGAAAAAAATCAAACCAGTATTACTTTCGCGGTGAAAATTGTTATACTTATTGAGTAAAATATTATTGTCAAGATGATTTTTGGAAGGAGAGTAAACATTTTTAGGTTTCGATATTCGTAACTATTACCAGGAGCCAGTAATTTTGTGACCAGCTTTGAACTATAGGTCTGAGTTCCGCCTCATAAACTTCGGTTTGTACAGCCAGGTGATTATATTAAGCGTTACGTAATAATTGTAGATGAGATCCAAACACAATACAATAACTTGTATCCGTTTATTCAATTGATTTACTTATAAACGTAAATTACTATTTTTACTAGACTTGTGATTAACATACATAAAAAAACAAATTAACTGGAGCGTCGTATTCATATTGAATCCAGAAACGTACACTAGTATACAAACAGGAATTTATTCTTAGCGGTAAAATCTGAGAAAACTAGTAAGATATTATAACCAAATTCATCGAACGATATAAGGTAGTTTTCAGTAAACCCTTAACCTAGGTTTTGTGCAATGTGGCACATACCAGTAAGCTGTTCATAGAATTATGAGAAAAATGTTCTCTACGGGACTCAAATTGGCGTCACTTAGTTTGAGATGTTAACATTAAATAACAGTTGGAGAAGTTTAGCAAATCTTACAGAACTGATAGACAAAAGCATTCTGAAACCTCTTTAGTATAAAGTCATCTTTAAAGCAAATAATTCTTGCTTACACGTAAACGGTATCGATATCACCCAATAATATCACATGAAGTCAATTGATGGTACCTAAGATAACTGATGGTTTTCAGCTTTCATTAATTCAGTAAATTTCGATTTCACTAGACTACTTACATTATGGAAGTTAAAAGTCCTAGTTATAGTGGAAAGATCAAGAGTTGGTAGACACAATAGATTAAAAATATATTGATTACAACCAACTGGAAATTATTTAATGATGATTAGTTCTTGGTATATGTGACCGAGAAGCTGAAACGTTTGACTGTTTGAAAAACTGATAACCGATAAGGTGTTTAACGGACATACAATCAATTTCGCTATAAGACAAACACAAACTCAGCTGCTGTGCTTACATATTACAATTCTAGCTATAGAATTTTGTTCAGATTCAGTAAAATATAAACAAATAATCAACGAACAATTGGAATTTGATGACTAGTGAAATGAAGAATTACCAATGTTTGTTATTTTTAAGTAATACACACACAAATCTTATTTCTGATCATTATCACTAAGGTTATATGATTCAATTTTTGCCAAATAAATGATACTTTAGATGTTATTGGGAGTGAATAGATAGGATCCATTTATATGTGAATGAACAGTTGAGTTCCCATTAAAACTAGAATTTAGCGCAAATAGATAAAGTATTACCTACAAATATACTGTGTAACAATAACTAACTTTAGTTACTCTTCACTATTGTTATACTAAACAGAAGTTAATATACCTGTTGGGAATGTTAAATCACTGAACACAACGTACTAGGAAGAAAACAAATAGTAAGATCTTATGTTGATTAACTTCGGGAGATTTTCACCTCAATTGAGCTTCAGTACAGTTTCATTTATCTTGATTAATTCAATATAGTTTTTTGTCTATACGAAATTTGTTCGGTTTGACAAATTCTGTAATCACTGAATGTAAGTGATATAAACTTGAATAAATTCGGATATGAACTAATCTTACAAGATATATCTTTTGACGTAGCTCGGGACAAGAGAGAGGACAGATATTCTATTCTGATATCGAAGTGTATTCAAGAGTTGTCGATGTGATCGCAAACATAAAAATGTCCTGTTTTATATGGAAATCTTATACTTGATAAGTTAGAGCAGTAGAACGAGAAGTCTTTCCAGTATGGTTGCAGTTGTTCACTTCCAAACACTGAAACACAGAGTCCGGTACTTAAATAACATAACCAACCTTCCATAAAAAAGATAGAATTTAAAGCTAAATATACACTAAAATAACTGCATAAAATAATGTACACTAAGTAGATTGATCGTTGGAAAAGAAACAATAATATGAAATCATTTCACCATAATCATCATCATGAATTGATTTATTCATCGTAAAAAGCTAATACACTTCACGTATGTATAAATCAGTGAATATACAGACAGAATATGTAGAGTAATAAAAGTAATAAGGCGGACTAAGCAGTAAATAATAATAATAATGATAAAATCATACTTGATCAGACACCTTTCCTCGCAATTCAAATCAACGAGAAAATCAATGGTGAAAAATAAATGAATAACTGATTGAAAAATAAACTTTCTAAACAGAAAAAAAATCGTGACAGTAATAGCAGTAATACTATATTATTAATAGTAGCAAATAGACAATTTTCTCTAAAAAAATAAATTAAGTAAAGAAAAAAAGCGAAAACAAATGTGAAATTATAGTTTGGTCTCTAAAAAAAAAGAAAAAAACAACTGGAGATTCTCTTCAGATCAGATCAAAACAGCCTGATTATAATTGAGTTGATGTTAAATATCTTTCTCATTGTTTTATATTTCTTCTCCAACCACAACGAAATTACACAAAATGATTCCAAGGACAAATGAAAAAGACTGGTTGTTGTTGTTGTTTTAATGGACAAAAGCGATTGAGTATTTGTTGTGAATGCAGGAGATGGAACGAAATAATTATTTGTGGAAAAAAAGAGGAAACAATCAAGAGAAAGATAGTAGTAAGAATATCAAACAAATATTATGATACATTATTAGTTACAATTAAATAAAAAAACATTTGAGACTACAAACAGATCTAAGTTGGACAACCATCTGAAAGCAGTGGGCATCTGTTTCGTCCTAGTATGGGTCCCATGATATTGTACAGCTAGCCACCATCCTAGGTGGGTGTCTTTTTCACACGCAACACGGTTGGACTGCAGTGGTCACGGCTTCTTACTTGAATCTGAAATTTGTCTCTAAGCTAGTGAGCACACAAAAATTACCAGTATAGGTGACCAACTTGGTCTCATGTGCTGTTACGGGTATGAGGGCTAATATGACTCACCGGCTGCCCGAACCGTGGAAGGGTATTGCTTGAGGGGCCTAAGTAGGAAGTTGGATGAATGCTGGTCTTACCGACCTGGGAGCTTGACCGCAAAGCCAAAGGGACAACTGCTTGAAGCCGGTCACGCACGGCCCTTTTGTGGCAGGTTTCCGGCGTGTTAACTCCGTTCTTTAAAGGGCCTTACTGCCGGAGACGAAAATCTGTGAGGTAAAGTGAGGCGTGACATTTTTAGGGTCGACCTTTACTTACCCCTTCCTTCCTTGTGAGAAGGCAGCATCGCTGCAGATGCTGGTTGTCCGAGGGAAACACCTCACTGTTGTCACACTCCTCTACAATCAGCAGTACGACTCCGCCCTCAGACCTTGAGTTGCTGCTTTTAGTCTTATCGTTCTCCAATCGACCTGCCTGGCATAGTAGAACCTACAGGAACATATGTTCCAGCCAATATAGCTCGGTTGGATCATCACGATAGGCAAGCCCGACCATCACGTAAAGGTAGCAGCTACGGTCGAGAACCGAATACTTTGTGTGTGCGCATATGTATTTGGTGCATTCTTGTACCAATGTTCATGTGTTTAAATAAATAAATACATAAATTTATGATAATTGCATTTCCTATGATATTTTGTTGTTACTGAGATCAACTTAAACTTACAAAACGAAAGAACAATTAGACTCGAGGAAATCTTACTAATTTAATTGAAGTATATTTGATGCATACAAATATAAGAATTTACATAATCACTATGTTGCGTCTACGGACAACAACTTGCGAAACTCCCTTTATTCAAATGAAAACTTTTTCACGCATTGGACTATGAGGTAGTACACAAGACGTATAGCTCAGGTGGATGATCTGGGTGGAGTTTCGTTGAATAAGTTAGGTTTAATTGTGGAGTTTCCATTGTTCTTCTGAACATCATCAGCAGGTAGACGTGAGATATCAAGTTTCTTCATATATAACTAACAGCTTGCCCTGTTGATCATGATTGGTTGTTATTGATCTTTAGCCTGTCATTGTTTGCATTTTTATTTTGAATGTCTCCCCCTTTGACCTGACTATTGATCCTATATCTGTTCACAGTTTTTTCGGGTTTGTTGATTTTGCTATGACCGAAATAGGATTGGACGACTAGGTCTTGACCAATGATACTTTTCGTCCATATTAGTAAAGACTTCCAAAGTGATAATGGTTTATTTCGCCACATATTTGTCTATAATCTTGTCGTTCAGAAGAACAATGAAAGCCCCATGATTAGACAATCAAGTCAGATAAAGAAACTCCACCAAAATCTTGAACTTTATCAAAAATGAACATTTCTTTTAACCTAGTACAACATGAACAGTTATTTTAAGTTTACATGAAAGAACAATGACGGATACACAGGACAATACAAACGTAGAAAAATAACAAACTTACTACAATCACAAGAGAAATAACCGGTACGATGAACGAACCACTTAGAACACCTTCTATATGAGTATAAAGAAATTCTGCGCATCCCTTTGAAATAGGAAAGAAAAACATTAAAAAACTATGGTAATTAAAAAGAAGGCAACAGGAACTTTCAAGGTTATAAACATGGGTACTAGATGTATGAGTAACTGGTCATTTTGATATATATATATATATATAGTATCAACGATACTTTCTTCTGTTCTTTGGTTGAAGCATTCAACCAAATCGGACTTCTAAGTTTTGAATATGGTATTAAATATATCGACATTATTAGTGCTCTTATACATTATTTTCTGGGGTATTTTTGAACCAATAAACCTTGAATGGAATATTAATGAGATTCGATTAAACAAGTATGAACATATTTTTATATACGGTTCCAAAGGATAGACTTGTGAAGGGATCTTTCTGAAGAAGATAATTACCACGTGTCATATCAAAAGCAGGATTGGTTGACTGGATCCAGGATAATAATCATTTAGGTGGATATAGGAAAAGAAATTTGGCCACAATAAGTATTGACGTTTTTTCACTATATCTGTCCACGCCTCAATACATTTCAACTCGCATCGAAATAACGATGAGTTGTATCAACTGAATGGTTTTAGGAACACTTGTCTAACATCTATTATGGTGTGCAGAACGGAAAACTAGGGACAAAGAGATTTTTCGAGCGATCAGTGGGAGCCTGTTGGTTGAAAAGTTGGATAAAAAAGCTGTCATCTATAGCTTTTCGCACAGCGCAACCTATTTCCGGTTAACTCAAACATGAGTCCAAATAATTGAGTGTGATCATGTATAGATATGTTGAAAAACAACTATCGCTGCTTTTATAGCGATTGTATAGTGTTTGACATACTATGATATGTATTAAACTCATCTTGAGATTTAATGATCAACAAAATTAACTTCTTTAACCAACCAATGCATAGAATTTATTTTTATTTACGACTAGAACCACATATCGACGCTATTACCTCGCATTCAAGTGACTCAGAGACACTAACAAACTTTGAGTGCGAATTAAATAATTAGTGAACTTGATGGTATCCAAAACTCTTGACAAAAACCTACGAAAGATTTAATCTAGTCCAATGTTTAGCACACTGTTTTATCTCCTACCTCAAGAAATGTCCCAGCTAGATAAATAAACTAGAAGCTCTAAAACAGATGAAGGAATATGCGGTACGAATCCAATCACTATTTTAAGTGATGTGTTTGTAAAACAGTAGAAGTCGATAGTTGGAGGCTAAAGATGTTATTACTTTAAAGTGAATAAATTAATTTTTCTTATTTTTGCACAAAAATCGAATATATTTACATAAATATAGATTAAGCATAAGAGTTAATTGAACTTACTTTTTGAAAAGTCACTTGTCTAGGTTCTTCATAATCAGACTTAGTTTTTATATCTTCAAGTACTTGTTCTTCTAAGCTTTTAAGTGTAAGACAAGAATCAGGTACTAAGCTGATAAAAGTTGAGGAATTAGGTTGACTGTATTTCCATTTTGAAGAGGCATATATTTGAGGACCCGAAAATCCACAACATTCACTCTAAATTTAATCAATTTAATATGAAAAGAAAATTAAACTATGACATTTTATAATTTATCAATATTTTTCTATGCATGCTTAGACACTAACATATTTTTCAGAGAGAAACAATTTGGTAAACTTGACTAATTGTCAAGCATCTATGTTGAATGAATTGTAATATTTTCTTCAATTATTGTAAGTCTTTCATTTTTGTCTTAGTAAATAAAAATTTAAAATGTAGAGTTAAGGAAAAATTTAAATTGCGTTGTAGAAAAATCTTGTACTCAGAAACGGTGTAATTACTGAAGAGGCATGTAACTTATTTACATTGAAATGCTTATTATTCATCCAACTTTAAGGTTTATTGTTCCAAAAATTATAATGTTTTTCATTGAAATCAAGAGCCGATCAGTGTTAGACAACCATTGAAAACCTGCAAGCATTGAACAGACGTTTCGTCCTAGTATGGGACTCCTCAGCTGCGCACATTTACGATCCAACACACGGGACTCAGACCCAAGACCTTCAGCTTCGCGGGATGGTGGTCTAACGTTGATCTCTCCATGATTTCAGCCAAATTCAACACTTTTCACAATCCCTAATTGATAAAATGTTTTTGTGAATAAAGATTTCTAAAATTAACAAAAAGCTTTTATGCCAGATTTTCTTTTCGAGGAAATCAATGTTACTACTGAGATTCAAAAGCATTTTATTTAGCGATTTATAGATCACCATTAATCCATTCGAGTAACACTAAGACATTGAATTACAAGACTTATTTATCATTCATATCAGTCGTATTAAACGTAAAACCTGACAATTGAGTGTTGGTTCGAATCCTCACACTATATTAATGCAGTGAGATGAAATTATAAAGACAAATTTCATAGTAAAAGTGGCAACAGTATAAGTACCAGTGGGAAAGAGATGTAAAAAATAAGACCGAAAGATATAAGGGGTTCTCGGTGTTCAGGAACTATGGAAAGATAAAGAATGAATGCACTTGGGCTACTGCACATTGATCAATAGCTGGTCAATAATTCAATGAAAAATTTCCTAGGTGCAAGTTCAGTACAAAGGACATACAAACATGAGCCTGGATGGGAGAAAAGTTATTAGAAACAAACACACTGATAAAAGGTGTGATTTTTTTAGATTACAGAGAATTAGTTATAGGAAACTAGTATAAGCGAAACCAAATATTAAAAAATCACAGTGTATTTTTAAACATATACTAATGGATGAAACCGAAAAAGTAGAGATTTTAGGGAACAGCATACAATGCTGATTAAAGTTAGTTGTGACTATGGCAATACCCAATATAGGAAATTCTGTAGAATGTGTGCTGCGTAAAAATGAAAGCATTACAGTCTTAAGTCAAGTCGAGAGGTACAAATGTAAATGTAGTTCTCATATGGCCTTAAGGTTCTGAGCTCAATATCACGAGTATTCATGATCACATATGTAATTAGACATTCACGAACAACTAACTGCTTAGCATATTTTCTCACACCAATATCAAAACAAACTGAATTCCTTAGTTAATTGTTACACAAAAAGAGACCACATCATTTTCGAACATTCACCTAATTTATCATTATTGTTTATTGATACATACAACCTTTGGAGTGTAATTCTAAAATAGCTTCCAAACAGAATATCAACGATAAAGTGATACATTTTAAACATTGACTTGAACTATTCTTTTGTGTAAACCATTTTCACTTATAAATTTCTTAATCATAACTTATATGAAGAATGTAATTTCACTGACTGAGAATTTAAAAATAAAACGATAACTAGCTCCAAAGACTTATCCATCGTTTTAAGATAGCATGATACGAATACCATGTTTATTAAGATCATGAGATTAGGTTGATGCAATACACTGTGAACAACCTGATTACGGATTGTGAAAATGTTAATCTTCACTACGGAGCTGATCCATACATTAGATCTATTTTGGGTGATATCAATTCTATTTGTGATACTGAGGGTAATTTAGATAATGTTGTTCAGTCTTTACCATACTTGTTATTCGTATACTTCCCAATAAATTAGTTTGAAAATTTCACAATTTTTGTATAATTTTTTTAGCCAGTTAGTTAGTATGCAGTCAAATCGGTGTGTTAAAGTGTCACATGATTTTGGTAAACGTCATATCTTAGTACGTTATCAAAATTTATCCAAAGTACATTTAGGAGACTAGCTACATAAGACAAAGAAGGAACAAAAGGATTAAATGTAACAGCTTTAAATAATTAATGTGCAAACTGTACACAATTGATATTTTTTTAATCTAATGACATCTAGTATACATCTCTATCTTACGGACTTTTTCTGTCAATATTATGTATTTAACCAAAACGTTAATTTGTTTAAAGACTTAAACTGAAAAACTGACCATTTACCAATAAAATCAACGACATTGTCCAAATAAATCAACATTAATTGTTTATAGTAAAAATTAATTGTCTTGAAACATAATAACTATGAAACATTATTTATACTCTTGGAAGCAGACATCAAAAAGATGAATAATAACTGGAAAGCATTGTCCAGGACAGAGGCCAACGGAGAAAGCTGGTAGGCGGCCTATGCTCCTCAACGAGGGGTAACAGGCGTAGGTAAGTAGTATAACAATATAATTGATGTCTATTTTAAGCAAACACATAGACTAGTAGAACAATTGACTTAATAAATTGAGAACGGTTGAGATGAAAATATAGCATTTAATACTATTACCCAAAAACAATGAGAGTGTATCATGATTAATAGGGCATCTAAAATCACTCCATTACTAGTAGGTTCAGGAAATAAAGAAAAGAGAAAGGAAGTTAAGTAATGGCTGAATCAATTTATTATTTCTAGAAAACATTTTAATGATTTCAGTGGTGAGTTGAATATAGACTGAAACAACAGTTTCATATCGACATAACAATAATAACACAGTTTGTATTTTGAACGATATCATGTGAATGTATGGGTATGAGCGGAAACATAAAACTATAATTAAGTGGGTTGAACACTTTAAAATAGACATAAGTTTTTTTGGAATTATAGACAGATAAGAAAATTAGTAAATTTCATTTGATAGAAAGTTTAGTGAACAATAATATTAAAAAACTGGATGAAAAGCATCTATCAGTGAGACAGTATTATGAAAATGAATAAACTTATTAATTGGAGAAGAAAATGGTAACGAATGATGAGGTTTTATTTTTTTATTTAAGCACATAAACATTAGTACAAGAAGGCACCAAATATATATGCGCACACACAAATTATTCGATTTGTGTGAAGGCTGGAATACTTACCGGGTGCCCAAACAGAAACAGATGGTTTTCTTAGGAGGCCACAACCCTGAGCTTTTGACCTAGTGGTCTAATCCACAAGGCAGTGGAGCAACGAAAGAAGATGCAGTCCCATAGTAGCCGGTCACCAACAATAGGTTCACACACCATTTGTCACCTCAGGATCCTGGAGCCCATGTGCACCACAGGTTTAGAATCAGGGTTTTCCACCTCTCCTAGGTGGATCCTCCATATCCACCAACCCGGTTAAAGCACGGGATATTGGCTTTTTTCTCTGTAAATTTCGCAAAAACACCACCGCGAGAAGACAGTGTATGGGACTTCCCTGTGCTCGAGTCGTGACTTAATGAAATGACGATGAGTTTAGGTGATGGGATTACTTTATGACATAATTAGTTGTTGATTCAAAACGTGCAGCGAACTATATATTTTGCAGCTGTATTTGTAAGGCGACCGGATAAAGTAGTTATAAACTCAAGGTGATATAACCGAAAATCGATAGCCACAATGAAGATGAATTTACTCATTGTTTTCCTTTAGCTGCATCTATTCAACTTCTACCCCGTTTTTAGCTGTTCTTTGTACTTTTCCTCTAACTTTTAATTGACGTTAATGAATTAGTTTTTCTCCATTTCTACAGCTTTGGTCTTATCCACCCTTCATGTTGTCATGATATAAAATCATGACTATTTGGACGAACGAACAGTTGTGTCAGTTCATTTATTTTAGTAATCCTTTATGCCATTTTGTAAGGTGATACTTTGGTTGATTTATAAATCACATAGGTATTTGAATATGATCCCAAAATCAATCAGAAAAAATATAAATACTATTATGCAATTCAGCTTTTTTGTAACTTCCACCAAAGTAAGCAACATCTGGAGAGAAGCCACTGAAAAATCTCACAACCATACTTGTCCACCCTCAGTTTTGAATATATGTAATATCAATATAATTTTTCTTGTTAGTCAAGAATTTTGTGTTGAAGTGGTTAAAATAGATAAAAATGTTTGCATATTTCATATTATTAGAAATAATCTAAATTGTAATGAAGTGATGAGGGCTTGTGAAACGTGAAAACGCTCCATTGATTCTGGTATATTTATTACTTTTCCTTTGCTTAAACTACATCAAAGTGGAATAAAATCAAATTGATTTTAAGAGGAATTTTAGTATTTGTCAAGATTTTGTTGTAAGAATATTTGATAACCAAATATATGGTGCTTGTGAGAGGAATAATAAAAATAAATGATGACAACCAATATTTGTGATTCTGAACATCTAATGACTGAAACTCATACCTAAGAAACTACTATATTAACTCAATAGCAACAGATTCATGTAACTGGCTTTGAATCAAACTTTCAGTGTAGAGGTTAGTTGTATTATCTGGTTGCCCAAATCGAAGTAGGTTGTGCGATGTTTTAACTTGTGACTTAGCGTCTGAAAGTTAAACGTTTTAACCATTGACCCACTGCCGGCATACATAAATCAGGGTTAACGCATTACTTACGCCAGTTACCCCCTATAAAGGAGCATAGGCCGCCCACTAGGATTCCCCATCGAACACATACTAACGATTCATTATTCCATGGAAAACGTTGAATTCAACTGTTTAGTTTCTTAACTTTCGCTATTCATTTTACTCTTTAAAGATGAAAAAATGTTGTAAACCTATATGTTAGTATATTCGAAGGATAATTTAGCAACAGTATAAGCTGTCCTAGGATAGATAAAAGGTTTTGTTATTTCCGAACACAACTAAAAACTTGATTATTGCTTAGGAAATGTTTTTGACTATATGAGATCAACGGTGTGATAACAGTGATAGTTGAACACTAAGTCATTAAGCGTTCTAGACTCAGAAAATGAACTGTTACAGATATAAAGAGATTACGCAAATGGTGCATAGCCATAAAGATTTTCCACAGATGGATAAATCCCGCTTAAAGTAATTCGAATTATCGTATTGCCATTTTAGATCCTCTCTAATAGAACATAGATATCATCTATCATAAATTCATCTGAAATCCCGTACAAACGCAAACAATACAAATTTTTTTTGACTATTTTCACAATAAGTGAATTTAATCACAAATACTTGGGAATCATGATAAACAATCTGAAGATATTAGATGTATATCACACTTGCGGATGCTAATCACCAACTGATTAAGTAAGAAAAAATCGATAAAACAAGATACTATATATTAGAATAGTACAATTTAAATGATCTGATGTTGATGCATAGAAGTTAAAAATGAAGTTTTCGTACAATATGCTTGTAATTCAATATAATGAAAATGAGTGACCTTAAAAGTATTATTTGCGAATCGCACAGTAAGAGAATAAATAATTGACTTTCAAGTTTAAGTTTCTTGTATTTATTCAGTAAGTTAATTAGTTGATTAATGGAGTCCAACGGAGACAACCATTAGGTAATGAATGTGCGTACATGTTTACACATAGGTATATCTTGACAACAGTTATGCATGAATGGCCTAAATATGATAAATATATACATGTGAATTACTTTCATGATTCAGGATAATTTTTAAGGAAGTGAAGAGTTGTAAAACTCGAAATATAATTTATTTATCAACTTTAATTACCATGACCAGTAATATAATAGTAATAATAATAATAATAAAATTTGTCATTTCAATAGATAAAGTTATGCCAAGTCACAATGAACACCGATATGACCTAAATTCGTATTAAATAAGCAGTATAGAATTTGCCAGTGAATGGTTTTACTAACATTCAAATTATTAAATACAACACATAAAATCAAATAAACAAAATTTTCAACTTCTTATTCAAACTAACATGATTTGAAAATGATCATTTAACTGTTGACGCTGCATTAGCCTTAAATTTAATCCATGTCATTTACACCTAACTGTTATTCTGAACTAGTCATTCTTGGTAGAAACAATATCGGTTTGAAATGCAATTCTTTATCTCAGAGTAAAATTATCAGTATAATAAAATAAGAGAGAAGCAAATGATGACAGTATGTTTCGAATTACTTAGAATAGAGAGATGATGAGAACATTCATTAGTAAGCGAGAAATTCAGTTTATTATAACATAATAAAACGCTAAAAATAAACCCAGCACATCTTGAAGGAGAAATTTGGTCCAAAAAGAACGAATGAAATTGAAAAAAATAACTGTGAAATAGTACCATGAATAGTTTGTATATATCGAGTATTTGGTTAAAAATTTTAAATACGTCATATAAATGTTTAGTTGTCCACTGGAAAGACAAATTAACCGATACCAATCATTCTACAAGTACTCACTTGAGACTGTAGATGATCCCACGCAGATGTAAAATCGGGTTCAAATCCGTACAAGCTAATCAAAGCCTCTTCAGTTTGTTCTTTAATTGACCATATTAACTAAAAATAAATCAAATATTGTCTAAAGAAATAAGTTGAATAATGATCTTACATTAAGCACCACATCAGTAAATATTTCAGTGTTTGAAACAGAATAATTTTGGAATTTTACTCATATTATTCAGGGATTCTTCTTCTAAAAGCGTTCAGATAAAACTGTTGCACGAAGCGTTAACGTTACTTTAGCTATGAAGCGATATTAACGAGTATACTTTATATGCTGATGTTTGATATCCGTGAAATAATTTAGCTAAATCCCTATAAAAATTTACATTAACCATTTAGAGGTTCAATTAATAAGATTTTAAGGTTTATAAACAATGAATTTATACTCAGTTTGACTCCTACAAGCCAAGCAAGCACCAGAAGTGACAATAAATGAATGGAATTAAACCAAAAATTACTACCCACTAGGATCATTAAAGTTCAAACCTTCTAGGAACCTGTGTAAACTGCCCGTCAAACGGAACTGTTAAAAATCCAGACAATACAAAAATGTGAAAACCATATGGGATACATGTAAGGAAAAATTTAGAAAAACATATAAAAGATATTTTACGTCAGTTACGCTACATTCCTCGAGACATTATCTTTTAATGTATTTGAAAAACCATCTAGAAAAATCAGTTTTTTGATCAGTCGTCCCCAATGAATAAAGTAGATAACTTCAAAAAATTTAAAGACATTAAAGATAACTGAAAATGATGTTATTCGATGCAACTAGACTTTCATGTTGATCCACTCACAAATGACTGCAGAAGTAATTAACGTGTTTCTTCGGACCCTTTATAATATATAAATTTCCAAACTATTTGAACGGTTAAGGACCATTGACATTAAGTAGGGATCGATTAGGCGGTTTGAAGTAATCTATAGCATGTTTCGTATAAGGTTTATGGTGTTACTTTTTCTGGTACTAGCAGTCCTAACCATAATAACACAGTATTATTTTAACACTTGAAATTTTCCAGTTATGTGCTACACTTGATTTCGCCACTATGACTTTAAACAAAGAAAAATTGTCATCTCAAGCATAAATTTTCTAACAATTTATCTTTAGTTCACTACTAGGACTTTTTCGGTAAAATAATGAGGTTATCAACGGGTTCATCAATAATAGGATACTTTGTTATAATGGTGATGTAATACTGAAAGTCTACAACATATATAATTGACAAAATGTAAAAAATATAGTTTCTCTACGTTAAAGATATTTTTGTATATTCTCAAAGAAGTAATGCAAACAGCACGTTCAGTTTTACCAATAAAATATCCGAAGCTATTTAGAATGCAGACTGGGTAGTATGATACTTAGTTGGATTTACTATCAAAATACATAACAGAACATTATGGAAAAAAGGATTAATAGCTTGAACTGCCACAGAAATTACTTGACAGCCCATAAAAAGCTATTTTCAAACTTTACTTTTATGTGTAATATAAGGCTAGATTGAAGATGGTATCTTGATGGATACAGGAAGCTCGAATTCTTAAAAAAATAATACTTCAGTACTAGTTGCTGAATGTAATTTGAACAAATAATCTACGACAAACGTTTTTATAAATTAGGTTAGTTCCTCAAACGCCTGACTCACTAGTAAACAGTGAAAAAGTCGCTTTATGTTTAAGGTGACAATATAATTTGATATGAAGATTATCTTAGTAGCTAAAACGAACATTATGATTACACGAATATTGTTAGAGCGAGACATCTACTAATAAGTAGTTATTATTCAATTAACATGTGAATGATAAAGCATAAGCTGTAAATAAAGATAAGATGTACGTACTTTTGTTCTAATTGTTTTCACATGGTACAAACAATAAATATGAGGGATTGTCACTGCAAACAGAAAAACTAAATACTGTATAAGAAAATTATGTTTTTATCAACATATACCATACCAGTGCAACTGCTCTCTTTACCTTGACTTCAGTAAATCTCCATGGTTTTTTCGAAACAAACAATAGATGAATCATAAAAGCTTGACAAACAAGCGAAAGAAGCAATAGTATCCCAATGATTACAAACAAAACTCCTTCTTCGTAGTAATATCGCCTACCGATAATTTCGGATTCGACCCGATTATTTTCAAGTAGCCAAATTCCACCAGAAATAAAAACAAATGAGAGAATCTAAACATGTGATAATTAATAATAAACACATTGAAAGTTATCAGGTACCGCAAACGCAGTGGCAAGATAAGATGACCATCGTTTCAATTGTAAACGACTAATATGAAGCGAGCGATATCCGCGTCTTTCTAGCATACCTCTGCAAATGGCGGAAAAAGAGAGGTAGTTGACTGTAGGGGATAAGACATAAGATGATATATCATTAACTCAATAATTACAACATTGAGAATTTTTTTGTTTTTGGTAAAGGTAATCGTTATAACGGACTAAAAATGTCCAGATGAGTGATATTTCAATATTAGAAATTGTGAGCTTGTTTTTAAGTATGGTTAATGTTTGTATGAGCGACCACAAGGTTACGAACTTGCGTTATTCATGATGGTATTGAAATGTATTTTATGCATAGGTTAGTAGTTTTTACCGCGGTAGCGCTGGATAAAATAATTCTGACTGCGATTAACTTCTTACTTAAAGATCAAATATGGAGCATTAGCTAGACAAAATAAGTTATTATCATAAAAAGGTGAGAATAGTGAAACAAAAATCTGTTTCGTACTGGTAAAAACATTGATGGCGGCAATATTAATAGGTGTAGACTACTTCATTAGAACGCGTGATTATCGTAATCACTGGTTAGGGACTTTGAATGACATGGCTCAAAATCGTTTGTGATGGCGAAGGTGCAGCCATGCTAAACACTAACAGGTATAATGTTCGGCATTAAAATAAGAATAGTCACCTACAGCAACGTAAATATTACCTGATTATCAATAACAAATTTAGAAATAACATACACTTTAACACAAATACGGTATGTTTCAAGAGGACTGATATATTAATAATATTTTGGAATTGGATTATTTGGACTGACATTGACTCAGTGGCGTTGGTTATCGCTACCCACCTCAACAATTTGTATAATTTTACCACACATGTGGATCCACTTAAGATTTATCATATTACTTTTAAGGGGTTGATCTATCTTTTATAAACTTATATTATGTACATGACACAATCCTGATAAATGGCAGTTTTTTGAACGCCTCGAGTGCCAATACAAACATTCTCGGGATTTTCATCCTAACTACAATAGGCCTGTTCGAGAACAGTCAGAACCAACACCTAATCTGACTACAGGGAGTAAGTTATTTGAGGTGAGATGTGTAAGGTGTTGGCTGTATGGTTAGGGTTCGTGAAATAACCGTAGTTTGAGTGTAAATTTTAAGTGACATGGGGAAAAATCAGTGGTGGTGTGGCAAATAAACCAATTCCTTATGTTGGACTAAATATTGATAGTTATCGTTATATTTATGTATACGTTAGCTTCTATTGTTTTTTGACAGGTCTTGACCCACGAAAAAATCTAGAGATTTTTTCGGTGGGACTATAATTTATGGACGACCTTTGAGTAACGCTGAAACAACCTTGAAAGTGCCTATTTACTTATCAGGGCTAAATGAGGGTTATAAATTAGTATGAGGAACATGATTAGAATTTATATTTGAACGTTGAGGTTAGAAATTATATTTAATGTTTTCTTTAGGAAGTGACACTAGCTATAATGCTGAAGTGGTATTTAGTCAAATGAGTAAATGAATCTTGCGCCAAAATCTAATAAATATCTTAGATCTGATTGGTTTATTCACAAACTGTACTCTCGCTCTTTTTTCTTGATTATGAAGACAGTGATTAATCAGAAATATATAAAAGATATTAACAACTGTTAAATTATTAGCGCTTTAGCCTAGTGTTCTGCAGTCAAATTTTGAGAAGTTTGTGGTAAATTCTAGGATTCAGCTGTATTACTTAGAAGTGTTCATAGCGAAATTTAGATCGTTACATCAGTATGAGACGGTATGTTTGCAGGACGATCGTAATCTAGCAAGGTTCAAACAATACACTGGAAAACGTAAAACACGGGGGAAATTCAGTGACCTTGCACAGCTTATGATTAATCTAACGCTGAAGGTTGCGGAAAGTAAACAGAAAAACTAGGATGGTTCCAGAACTGGAATGGATTCTATGTATTGTATGTTTATCTTTCATCAGTTTCAGAATATACTCATACTTACCGATGTCAGACAACTTATATCCCAGTTTTAAAGATGCATTTTACAAGATCAGCGTTAGAAAGCAGAGCCTAACATGCATCTAAATGCCAATTTATGAAGTCGGAAAACCTACTGAATGTACATTATGGACTGATGGATCTAGAGACAAAAGATGACGGGAGCATTCATGCTGCAGTCTCACTTCGTGTTTTTCATTTTACCGAAAGTGTAGAAACAAAATACTCAAGTGAGATATAAAGGAGACACGAAGGCCAGTACTAATATCCACCTAAACAGTCACTACATAGCTCTGATAGCCGTCTTCTTATTCCACTACCCAAAATCACTAACCGATCTGAAAAATCCATGTGTTAGATATTTTGCAGTAAATTTGAATTAAAAGTAAACGATAATCTGGACATTACTACTTGACACTAATATTTGCAATAAAGTCACAGCATGGAACAAAATTATTGGAACGTTGGGCAACTGACTTTTGCGATGTCATCTACATTCAAATTGTCAGTCCATATCAAATGTACCGACCAAGTAGTTTTAACATTGTGGTGACGCATATATTTAAACGATACGCGCTCACATATTGGACAGCCGTAATGATGTGATGTTAAATATCTCTCGACAGTGCTCGTAAACCAACTCCAATAACATATAATTTCCCAAGACTGAATGATGGTAGGTATCGTAAAACTTCAGTGATTTTCTGTCCGGGATATCAAGACTGACTTGATGAAATGCGGTCGAAGACAACTTCTGAATTTTTCTGAGCAGATGTAATTGACTATTTGTTTTTTGGAATCGGAATTTTTCGGCATGAAAACCCTAATAACAATAATAAAACTTTAATACACAATGTTTTGTCTATCGTAAACTGAGACGACTAAACATGCGTTAAAAATATTCTGGGATTAGAACGAATAGTTTTACAATAATTGGGCGCTGAGTATAGAGAATTCATTATATGTGAAAAAATTATATTTGAAATAGTCTCAGCGATTGAAATTTAAATAATCCCAACGTTTCGTCCAGCTAAATTGTCTGGACTTCTTCAGGATTATTTCCCTGAAGAAGTCCAGACAAGTTAGCTATATTCTGGGATTGTCTATTGATTATGATCACATCGTTTCTCAGCTCTCTAAACTAAGAACACGTGTAGTATCTGTTTTTCGCAGTGTAATTTCTACAATAGTCTCTAAGCTGCGAACGTTGAAATTACTTGTATTTTTCTCCCCCGGACGGGTTCCTCAAGCTTGCTCAATCCCATACATGAGTCGGCCTCGTATTGTATTACCTTGTAGTGACCTACTTTTCTCGACGAGAACGCAGTTGGTACAATGGAAACAATTATTATTATAACCAATTGTACCAGTCATTGCTTTACTGTACTCGTTTTGTTTAACAGTATCAAAATCACTTTTCGTTCCGTTGTCCACCTTGTTCGCTCAAACTTCCTTACGCTCTGCCCCTATTGCCTGTACTCTTTGGCACGTCTCGGTACTCTTTCGATCCCACGAGATCGACAATAAATATACCTTATCTGTACCAATTACGGCCTTCTGGTTTTCGACCAATCGAAGGAACCAAGTCGTTATCTGGCCCGTAATTTTATTGTGGTGGTGATCATTCCAGCACGGTCGAAATGCCATGTCATGGATTCTCGCCTACATGTTATATGTTATCGAGGATTTTTGATGTCATTATTTATCAGCAATTAACAGCATTTTTCCGTCACACGTCAATTTTCGTAATCTTTGTGCTTGTTACAAATTTTATTGCAGTCTATTGGTAGGTTAATGTATTTGTTGCTCACAGACTGGATAAATGTTTAATAAGTCTAATTTGGCTATTTGTAATCATGCAAACTCAGGCAAGTGAAATTCACCATTTATTAACTCGAAAATATACCTTGATCAGAGTTCCAAGCGAAAGTGAACTCTAAAATCATTTACATATGACTCACCTCCCTAATTATGATAGTGATGAACACTGGTGTTGGCAGTTGCATTATAAAATGTAGGTTGAAGCAAGTGAGTGATAAACTATTTATGAATATTATATGAATTGCCAATATACAACTGTAAGCTGTTCTATCCATCATAAGTATCTTCGTTTTCGGCTGAACTGATATATTATTATGTAAGATATCTGTGAGAGAAGAATTATATGAGTGAAATTGACGTTGATGACCTTTTGTGCCCACTTTCTGAGCATTTACAGGAATTGTGTATAGCATTACTGTGAGTGCTACATAAATTAGCGAAATATTCTTCATAAATAAAGCGATGCGTGTTTGTTTTCAGCATGGCAGCCAAAACATATTGTGATCAAAACGAGTTTTGGTGTCTGTTTTAGAGTTCAAAAATAAATTTCTTTTAAATTGTAGAACATCTACGTTGATGGTCTATGTCAAAATGATTGGGGGCCTACTAAAGTTAGACGAGAATGGTGGCGAACCAACTAACGCTGAAGTCACACCGCGACCAGCACCTTACGTGGATTGCCCCCATCGACGTAACGAGGGGCCATGGATGCTATGGAGACTGTACAACACAAAGGACGTTATTACAAGAATATATTAGTTAAGGTACAACCACGAAAGTACAGAAGCGAAAGTACAACCACTGCCGCGTGGGCCAGTCCATGGTGTATGATTAATTGATACGCGTTGACCATCCTTGACCTTGACAGGGATCGATGATCTGTTCGATATTCAGTGACATTTCACCGACCCTACAAAATGAATTCGAAATCACTGACCAAATAATAAACAAAGTTTTAGTGCATGTAGAAGAGTAAAATCTAAATAGTGATTACCAGTCATTTCATTATTGCATGTACACAGTGAACTGCTAATGGCATTATGAACGTTGTTGAAGATACGACTAGTATTCCGATTTTACAACCTGCTACCAGTAGCACCTTCTATATGCGAAGCATCTCCCCGACCAATGGAAATCAGAAGTCAGATGCGAAGAGGTAGCAAAGACATATTTGATACGTTATCAATTTATCGAGAAGCGTTTGTTTTAAGCTGGCTAGTGAACGTAGGGGCTGTGTCCCACGCTGAGTCGAAATGTGATCTGGTGCGGATGTATGACCGAACGCCTTCGGTCAAACGAGTCCATTTAAACAATTTGGTCAGCATCCAATATCGAACACGCAATGAGCTATTGATTTTGGGGAATTATTTACAACTACATTGTAAATGGATTTTTTCAGATTTCATATTGCTAATTAAAGTTTTTGAATCCTTTCATTTGGTGTCTGCAGTTTTTTTGCTAGCATCAATCAACCAGATGAAATTCTAGGAGGTTTGGAAAATGAAGAGCACTGTTTACAACAAGTAAGACACTTATAGGTACGTTCTGTTACCTGCTATTACATTTATTTATTGAGTTTGATACTGATAACGAAGTTTAATGGTTTGTTCCACGATTGATTTGTTGTTTTTCAGCACTGCATGAAGCTGAGAAGATCTTCATGTAGTTCGCGAGCAGCATCAAACTGTTAACAATTTTACAAGATTTACTCTGCAGTAAACTTTCACGAAGTAGTTTATTCAATCAGGTTGAAAAGATGTGGCATGGATTGCTTATAGGAATACGAAAAGAATTTCGGTGCATTGGAATGTGATTAATGATGTAGAGGGAAAATTAGTCTTAAAGGTTATACAGGTGTGAATATAATTTATGGACGACGTCTGAGCGACGCTAAGGTGACCTTGAGAATGCCACCTGCTTCTTAGAGCTAAATGAGGATTATAAAGCAGTTTGAAGCATAAGGATCAGGATTTAATGTTTTCATCAAAAACTGATATCAGCTCAAATGCCAGAACGCTATTTGACCAAACGGGTGAATGAATGTGGCACTAAATTCCAAGACCTGTTATCCGGAATCTGATTGGCTCGCATATAAATTATAATCTCTCCGTTTTGCTCTCTAAAACACACTACCCTGTGTTGGGGAATAGTTACAGTATCTTCGTTAAAGTCATCTTCTACGGCATATCATTCAGGTATATTTTTCAAAACTATGTTTATTGCTTATTAACTCCCCCTCAGATATAGACTTAGTGATAAGCATTGAAATACATGTTTAATACACAGTATTGGTGCTTCGGTAAGTACATATGCTGACTGTGGTTGATGTGCAGCAGCGGAAGACAGATCCTTTTTTGAAGGAGGCTTTGATGATCCTTAGTCCGTGGGGTTTCCATCCTATAAGTGCATTCTGTGCTTGTTTGGACAGCATCAATGCAACTCCTTGTGTATATGGGGCATTTTCTTCTTCATACTCGAAGTATAACAGAAGCTCCCTTGACATTAGTCCAACCCGCGTCCAATGCGTTTCACTCATTTCAAGCACCTCCAGCTTGTATCATTTCATTTCTGCAGAAACTTGGATGACTCTCCCGGTCTTGCACATCGTGTCAACACTCCATGTACCCCAATTAATGGTTGCTCTGGTTGTGAGAAGGGGCGCCAGCCTTAAGGCTTCTTATAGAAATCAGCTTTCAACGTGAAGCCTCATAACTCTTCTAAATGAAAACCTTCTTACACCCTGGACAGAATATAAATGGCTTGAATAATGTTTACTGGTTAATGTTTTATTGACGAGTTAGTTTTTTATGGTATGAGGTCGCTAACCTCGTGTCCAACCCTCCTCCTTTATCCGGACTTGAGATCGGCAGTGGCTCCCGGAGGGGCTACGGGCGGAGTTATCGAGATTATTAATTTTATTTTATTAACTGAGCTTTACTCTGTAGCGTTTTATAAGTCCCTCAAATCAATAGCTCTGTAAGTCTTCGACATTCGATGCTGACCACATTAGTTTTGCCGGACTCAGCTAACTGAAGAGGCCCGATTACTCATCTGCATCAGATCATGAGTGAGCACGCTGTGCTCAACTTCACCTGCAAGTGTCAGCCAGTTTAGATCAGTCACTTCTCAATATACTGTTAGCCTGTCAAACATATCTTCGAACCTCTTCGCTCCTGAATTTTTGATCTCACTAGGTGAGCACGTTACGATTATAGATGTTACTGGTTAAGGTCTTGTGAAACTCCGAATACTTGTGGCATCTTCAACTCATTTTATTCCTATCGGTGTTGACTCATTATGTTTGAATCGTTATCTTAAACAATGCTGTAGAATGTTCTTTTAAATAAGGCATTTATTTAAAATATTCGGCCTAGTAAATTTATTTACACCTTCGCTATACTATACCAATGGGTCTTCAACACAACCTCCGACTAAACACTTTCATGTAACTTAAACCAATTTTGTAATTATGGCATTAAATATTACGGGTTATAAGCAGCTGACTAGAACCAACGAGACAAAATGAATTCATGTTATTCTGCTAGAATCTTCGTTCTTGCTTTTTTCAAAATTAGGTGGTTTTCCTAAGGTCATAAAGACCTTCACATCTCAGGAGAGAAAGCATGGAATACAATGGACAGTTTGGATGCAACTAGATAACCTGGACTATTCAGATGACCTAACTCTCCTATCGCATGGGCACCAATAAGTGCAGTTGAAGACAGTTAGCGAGGCAGCAGACTCCTCATCAGTAGTCGTCAATATTCTCAACAGAAAGACCGATATCCTCAAATACAACATGGGAAACAC